AGGAGCATAGAGGAGGGGCCATGGAGGTGGCATGGAATGGGAGCATGGAAGATGGGTTCTGGGATTGTGTGTGTGTGTGTGTGTGTGTACAGGGGACTTGAGAAGACACAGCATACGTCTACACTGCAATCAGATGTATGATTGCTGCATGTGTAGACCTAGCTGAGCTAGTTTGATTGAGCTAGCTCGAGTTACAGTAGCAGTGAAGCCATGGCAGCATGGGCTAGCTGCTTGAATATGCACCCAGGGTCCTGGGGGGACTTATACAGGGCATGCCACATTTGCTGCTGTTACTCAAGCTAGCTAGATCAAAGCTATCTTGAATATGTCTACACATGCTGCAGCCACACTTCTTACTGCAGTGTAGACATATCCATAGAGGAAAGCAAGGAAAGTCAGAGTGTGAAAAAGTTTTCCAAGTGAATAAAGCCACTCCAAGGAGCGTTTCAGAAGCAGCCATCAGCCAAGAAGCCATAACAGTCAGGCTTCAATAGAATTTCACTACCAGGGAAGCGGGGAAAGCAATAGGAGGCCCAGGAGTGAGTACAGCAATACTGTGCTTTCTTGTAAATGGCTCCATGCCGCCAATGGATCTTGGGGCACCTGAAGGGTTTGGGGGATCAGGCTCTGTTCTTCCCAGTGGGGTTAGGAGCAGCCCCCTCTACATTTAAGAATGCAGTGGAAATGCCAAGAGATCAATGTGGCATTTCTGTGGGAGGGGTAAGTGAAGACCAGTGAGATTAAAAATTTAGGAAACTAACATCACATATCAAAACACACAAAAAGCTGGAAATAATGAGTTTTATTTTTATTCACAATATTATCTATACAAATATATATTTATTTATATATTCATGTTCACTTCACTTAAAAAAGCCTTCTCCCAAAGACACTCTAAAGGGCACTGTTCTTCTTGTGTGCCTGCTTTACGGTTTGCCCTACTAAAACTAAAGAGGCCTGGGGACCTGTCCAAAAAAAAAAAAAAAAAGTTTGCATTGTCCTGTTCTGGTCAAAACAACTAAGTCAGAAAAGATCTTAACAGCTAAACATTTGCAAAAATACTCAGCTCACACAGGCTATCAAACGGTTTCATAGCAGCTGATGTAAAGGCTGCAGTATTGAAAGTTCTCCCCCTGCAAAAGGCCTAATTTTTTGTGTACTATAATTTTTTCCTTTTTTCTTTCATATTTTACAAAACAGATCTGTTAAGGTCCCAGTATCAGGTCATTTTGTCAGTGTGGGTATTTAGTACACTGCATCCTTCTTTTCTAACAGGAAAAACAATTGTGTCACGGACAACATTTATATACAAACATTGACAAATGCAATAAGATTGTGATGCCTCTCTTTGAAATGTAGACTTGCCTACTATTTCTATATCTCCCAAGTAATGGTCTTTCCCTTAGTCACTGTTTATTTGTTAACTCTTCACCAAACTGTATTAACTTAAAGCTTTAAAATAACAAAAATTATGTTTCCTTTCTAGTTTTTTTATGTACAACCAGTTCTCTCAAATTTTAGCATCTGCGATCAGGCCTCATTCTGTTTGATTTCACTTTGCATTTGTTTAAGTACTTGTGAGCCATGGTGAAATGTTTTAGAAAAGCCTGAGTAGGAGGGAAGTTGTTTCCCAAGACTGCGTGTGGGGGTGAAATCCTTTCTTTTATCAAAGTAAATAGAGTTTTGCCTTCAGTAGGGCCAGGGTTTCACCCGTGGACAGTCATTCACTAACACCCTGATCCAGTAACGGACTGCAGAGATAACCCATACTCTTAAAGTTAAAGCATGTGTTTAAATGCTTTGCTGGGTTTAAGATTGTTAACATCTGTATCTCCCCAATCCTCACAAATGAAAAGCAAAATTGCTAAGTGTTAAGTAATGGTTCAAAAGAGTACTTACTAAACTCCTTCTGTTGCCTGTGAACTCCAATCAAAATTGTTTGGGACAGTTTCTAAACAGAATAGAGCAAGATAATGAGAAGGCATTGCTTAAAGAAAAGTTGTACAATTTAACCTTTCCACCACTGGAAGGAGTGCTTTTCAGAGTATTACATTTTCCACCTGACTGGATGATCCACAATTTAAGAGTTTATTGGTAAGCGAACAGCAGATTTGCCAAGAGAGCTATGATTTCAAGTCTTTCCCATCTGCTCCACCGCCCATGAATGACTCAGTCATGAGCAGCCCTGCATGATCTCTGTTCATGCAAGCAGAATATAGGAAAAATGCGACTTGCCAACTCACTAGTTTATGTTCACCTTCAAAATGCAAAATGCTGCATTACATTATCTCAGAGCCATGTATGTCCATGAAAAGAAATTGTTAAGATCTTCCTACAACCTTGGTGCTGTATTTTTTCACAAAGAAAGAAAATCCTTATAAGAAACAGAATCCAGCTATATTTAGAACCAGCCTAATAGGATAATATGGCATGTCTTTTATTATTCAGACAGATGGAAATTTGTATTGCTTCATTTTAAAGAAGAAGCTTAACAAAAAAATCTGAGCTTGCTGGTTTTGCAAATAAGCAGTCTACAGGCAAGAAACAACTTCCACATTATTATTTTAACAGTCCCTGACATCTGTAGCCTGGTGCAGCTCTGAACTGGCTGGCAGGAGGGGGCTGGGGAAGGGGCTTGGGGTGCAGGAGGAGATGCAGGGTCTGGGAGGGAGTTTGTGATCTGGGACAGTGGTGGAGGACAGAGTGGGAGGTGCAGGCTCTGGCCGGGAGGTGCTTACCACAGGTGGCTCCCAGCCAGCGGCGCAGCAGGGCTCAGGCAGGCTGCCTGCATATCATGGCCCCATGCCGCTCCTGGAAGCGACTGGCTGCTAGCACATCTCTGTGGCCCCTAGGAGGAGCAGGACAGCGTGTCTCCATTCACTGCCTGCGCCCACAAGTGCCACCCCCGTAGCTCCCATTGGCTTGTTCCTGGCCAATGGGAGTTGTGGGGATGGTGCTGGGGGAGAGGGCAGCACACAGAGCCACCTCCCCCCTCACACAATAACATATTGTAGTGTGGCCAGCCCCTGTAAAATTAGATGCAATCCATTTAGGGCCCAGTTTTTAAATTCATACTCCCTTCTTTTTAAATAGGATTAAATATGACCACAGGTTATTGTGGTTAGGTACCAAATTTTCAAAAAGTATTCTCAGTTTTTTTGAATGCTGGAATCTCCCCATCTGTGAATCTGTCAACTGTGCACCTGTCAATTCTGCACACAGGTGCCTGTGATCAAAAATGTTGATCATGACATAATGGACACAAACGCAAAGCAGAAGAGTATGTACCAAGTTTTCAGTATTATTCAGTCATGAATCACCTCTCATTTAAAAGATAATTTCAAATAACTGGTCTGTTCCTAGATTTAAAAGTTTTAAAAAATCATTAGAAAGCCAAAAGAATGGATTGCAGAATAATGCTAATATTTTTGATAACTTTCACTTAATAGTAACCACTGCTTTTTCAGAATTTCTTCTAATTCTATTAGTCTTCGAATATCTATTATGTATTCACTCCTATCACTGACTTGTAATAAGGCCTATTAATATATTCATTTTCTCTTTCTAGTATTAGTTTTCCATTCCCATTTCCTTTATCTCACTTTCTGCCTGATTTACTCCGATGATAAATCAATGTCTTTCCTTTTCAGATAATTTAGTTCATTCATGACTTTTTAATTCATATCTTCATATTAAAATATTATGCTGTTTATGTTCATGTCAAATTTATTCTCCCTCCCTCTTTTCTTTTTCAGCAACCATATAGCATGATGCTATCACTCTGATCCCAATTCTTTTAACAGTTTAATTTAATTTCTCCTTCTGAGGGTCCTAATGCCATCTTTATCAGCAATAACCCTTTTCTCATATAGAAAAAGCTCCATGGCTTTTTACACTGTGATCCTTAAGAATTCTAACTCCAGTCTGCATAGTGCACTTGTGGTACGGGGATATTTCAATGATAATATTTATAAGTAACACAGTTAATCTGATGCTGAATGCAACCTTATAAAAATATGGAGACATTTATTCATAATATCATAGATTTTAAGGCCAGAATGGATCATTAGGGTCATGTACACTGACTCCCTGCATAACACAGGTCACAGAACCTCACCCAGCAATTTCTGCATCAAATCCATAATTTCTGTTTGAGCTGCAGCTTTTAGAAAGACATCCATTTTTGTTTTAAAGACTTCAAGCAATGGAGAACGCACATCCCTAGGTAAATTGTTCTGATGATTAATTACCCTTTCTGTTAAAAATTTGCACTTTACTTCAGATCTGAATTTGTCGAACTTCTGCTTCCAACCATTGACTCTCATTAAGCCTTTTTCTGCTAGTTTAAACAGACCTCTGCTGTCAAAAATCTCTTTGCGTAGTTACTTGTAGACCAAGTTGCCTCTTAGCCTTTGGAAAAACTAAATAGATTGAGCTTCTTTAGTCTTTCATTATAAGGCAAATTTCTAGACCTTGAATCATTCTTGTAGATCTTTTCTGAAACCTTTCTACTTTTTCAACATCCCTTTGAAGTGGGGAACCAGATCTGGGCAAAGTATTCCAGTAAAGGACTCTCTAATACATCATACAGAGGTAGTACCACCTCTCTGCTCCTACTTGATACTCCCCTGATTTTATATCCAAAGATCACATTTGGCCTCATATCTACAGCATGGCACTGGAAGCTCGTGTTCAGTTGGTTACCAACCATGACCCCTATATTATTTTAGTCCCACTACACTCCAGGGTACAGTGATCTATTATTTAATCTATAATTAACTAGCCCAGTGCTTATTTCCACACAAACCCTGGGATCACAAACAGGAAAGAAACAAGATTCCTAGAGAAATATTTTTAGACTGATTCAAACCCAGTTCTCAAAAGTCCTCTGAATGAGCTCTTCATATGTGCCACAGGGGACTGGTCTGGGGAATGATGTGAATCATAAGAATGGTCAAAAGCCATTAACCTAAAGAAAGCGCATGAGCCACATTATAAGGTATGGTCCAAGCTCCTCCCCAAATCATTTGCCTTTTATTCTCCATTTCAGTTAGTTACATTTCTATTAGTTTCCACCAGGATTGTGCATGCACCTTGACATGTTCACAAAAGTTCCACGATACAGAGTTTCACAACTGGGATAGTCCCTACATTCAGGATACCAGGATGACAAACAGATTCTGGAGAAAAGCTCAGTAAATAGGATGGGGAGAACATAATTAACACACTGTAACAACTACAATGCATCAAAGACATAGAATAGATTAGATCAATTTACCACAAAACTCACAAAAAGTAATTGATCAAAGAATATCTCTCTTATGCAAAATATACATTTTAGGATGTAATTTTAATACATATTTTAAATTTACTGATGTTGCTTCTGTGATAGTTTGAATTAAAAAAACCCAAATATTCTTGCTGCCAGAATTGTATTTCTCATAATACTTATAGTCTGAGGTAACAATGAAAAAAGACAGTGTACTGTGAACAAAGTCTGTGATGTTTGTCTGCAGTCACATTTCTCTTATCGAAGTGAAAAGTAAACAAAAATTGTCAAGTACATTGGAATTCATAAAAATATAGATATGGCAAACTGAGAAAGCAAGGATTTGTAGCAAAACCCACTCTGTCCGCGGTCATGACCTTTGCAAAAAAAATACCTTTGTTATGAGGGAAGTGAAGACAGATGTAGTTTACATCACTATCGTTTATCGTTATAAGTGTGTGCCTTTGCATGAGCAAGACCATACTGCAGGAACCAGGAAGAATACACAGAGAGAGGCATGTGGGCCTTTGCATGGAGTCTGAGATCTGATGACTTTGAATTCAGCTTCCTCTGACATAAATGGCAAAAGCTGATATTCCATGCACACACATTGTATTTACAGCTGACTCATCAACAGTGACTAGTCACCTCTTCCACTGGCAGCAGCAATTGAAATCAGTCCTTCATCTTCATAATAATCTCTACTTCCCATGTGACAGCGCAAAGACCTGTTCAGTGCACGAGTTGTTTATCATGGCCCATTCAGCAGCAGTAGTCTCTTTCCAGTACAGTCCTTGGTATGGCTAAATTCCATTGTCCCTTTTTCAGCAGTCAAAAATCCATGATAAATTCTGTACAACACTGTAGTCAATATAACAGCAGCACCAGATATTATATTAATTTCTTTGCTAAAAAGCTGTTTGCAATTATCTCTCTCTATTGGCAATGTTTTACCAAAACTAAATCAATGTACATCTCTAAATATCAGAAATGTATACTTTGATAAAGATATTATAGTACAAGAAGTTTGACATGCAGGTCATGCTGTAGGGCTAGGCTATATACAGAAGAACATGTTACATGGTCAACAATAAAAGTTATTTCTCATCCTAACAAGAAAAATAAAACATATGACAGTCAGGGATTATTCAACAATCTCAAGGATCTCTTAAAACTTGGTTTAGCTCTTTTTCCCCCCTTCTTCCGTAAGACTATGTTGTTGGGTGTTTTTTTTCCTCACCAGCCAAAAATATCAAATCTACTGTTGCACTTGTACTGTTGCATAAACAGGTTCTTGCTTTTTAAATTGAAAGAAAAAGCCACTGGAGGGGATACAGTTTGAATACAGTAATGAATGTTGGTTGCTAGGTAGCGGGATTGATGTGGCTGCAGTAGACAACCAGTTAGAATGGCAAAATCATTGCCAAATCCCACACTTCAAATATCTTCAGAGTTCCCACATTAAGTAGGCTAAAGGATATTAACTTACACTTGAAATGTATAGTCTGTACCAATAAGGGGGGAAAGGAGAAAATGTACTCAACAGTTTATCTTAAAAGATAGGGACATTTTAAAGGTACTTCTGTGCTTTATGGAGACAGATGAAGAATACAGCAGACACGTAGCAAAACAGACAGACGAAACAACATATAGAACAAAGCACCTCAAAAAAAAAAAAAACAACACTGACTGAAGAAATTTATGAAGCTCATGAATCATATTTAAGGCTGGTCAAACCCCTTTTGAGAACTATTGCCCTCCTATATTTGTACAGATAAAAGTAATAATCTCCTTGCTTTTACATGGCACTCTGCCTCTGAAAATGTTGAAGAACCCTGGAGTAGAAAAATGACTACAGTACCAAGCAGCACTTGCTAGCTTAAGATTGCAAGCCTGGATGGTGTTTACCTTTCTTTCATGTTTTGTGCCTTCCCCAAGCCATTAAGAAAGAGATCTGGCCTCAGCTTGCGTGTAACCAGTAATGACAACCTCTTTGCAGTTATCTGTGTGCAAACAACCGGAAACATTCAGAACTCTGATACAACAATCTAGTACCAAAGTTAATCAAGAAATCAAACCATTTAAAAACAAATAATTTAACTAAATTAAAAAGGTTAAACAACAAAAAAACAATCCCACATACAGACCATTTCATCAGTGCTTTCATTTCAGCAGGATGGTACAATGGAAGAACACACATCCAGAGCCATCTATGGTCCCAGTAATCTGCAACACTGCTGTCAGGTGATGGAGACAGTATGGTCTATGCAAATGATCAGCCCCAAATCACATTGTGTGTGACAAAGACAAGATTCCAGACATCTTCAGAATGGGTTAGAGTCACAAGTAATGAAGGTCCAATGGCATGATTGATTATCATTTGGAAGCACATTATTTTTAATATATCTCCCTGAAAATACACTTATTTATTGAATATACTGGCCAATGAAGTCTACTAGCTGTCCTTTTATTGCTATGGTAAAGTAGGACAATATAGTAGATAAAAGGAGAAGCACTACTTTAGACAATCTTAAAAGCCAAGGTAAGAATCGTCAGCTACCCAAGTGGCATTTCTCACTACTGACATTTATATCATGCAGAATTTATACTGTATTTATGGAGCCTACAGTTAATGCTACATTTATTTCCATAATGTGGTAAACAGTATTTGAATTAATGCTATGTAGCCGATTGATGCCATCTGGTTTACAAGATAGATGGGATGGGAGATCGAGAGCGTCTTAGAGGACAAGGTGAGCTGTAGGGTGATGTTACTGGAGACAGTCTCAGAGCATTGCCTGCCAAGCCAGCTATGTTGTTTAAGCTTCGGGATTTTTCATATCCTTTTATGAGAAAATGCACAGACATCAGTTGAATTCAGCCAGAAAATAGACAAAGACAAACAATACAATGCAATGTAATCAAATGTACTATTTTGGGTTCAAGGGACTTTGTCTTCAAAAAGCTCAATGCTGAGACAAAAGGGAAAAAAAGAAAAGAAAAAAAGGGATCTTAATGTAGCTGTCCTTTCCAGTGAGATTAAACAAAGCCATCACAAATCATATGTGCTACATACTTTTAGACCTATTTTTCAGCACACCTCCATTGGTTTTAGTAGGGTTCAACTGAGTGCAAATCAAGTAATGATCTGGTCATTCACAGAGTACTATTGACCAATTGCTGTAGATTGAGTCATCTGGGTAATATACTCAAGATCTTTAAAAGAACAGATTGTAAAAAATGTGTTAGAAAGATATAATCTGTGTTAAACCCAGTTTCTAATATGAGTAGATTTTCCTTAAAATTACAGAAAACTATATAGTTATATAAAGTAATTGTATAGTTATTCATGTAGAGGATGAAATGAGGTTGGTGTAAAGAAGCTCTATCTCCAGGAATGTTAAGGCTCAGAGTTTGCATCGAATATAAAAGTATAATAAGATAGCTAAATTTTCAGATTTGCAATTTCTTTCTCATTTGCAAAGTTAAATCACAATATTTGCAGTCCTTATTTAACTGATTCTAATGAAAAGCACAACATGACTGCTCATGAGTCTAATGTGATGAAAAATTAATTCTGAAATCGGGTAGTCACATCTAAAAACTCTCACAATTTGGATGGAACATTGCACTTGCAAACATTTCTGTTCACATGTACTGCCAGCTCAATCTACCCACTTTATGCTGCGTATAGGTTTGTTTGAATTTAGTAGAGACTGTGCTTTTAAATCACCGGAAAACATTGCTCGTCATTGTCTCACTGTCTTAGAACTCAAATAGAGGGAATCCACATTACTAATGTTAGACAATAAAACCTGAATAATTCCACCCATGAAGCAATGAGTTAACCCCATTGGTTTGTACAGAAACACTCAGGGATAGGATCCAGAAGTATACCACAAAGTGCAAACGCTTCAGGATGATTCCTCCCACATTCTACTTCAAATTTTGCCTTATACTAAAAGATGTGAGCCCTAAACCTGAGAATACTTATGTGCATGTCAACTGTAAGCACAAATAGTCCTATTGACCTCAATGATGCTACTTACTGTCTTAAAACTAAGCAGATATCTAAGCAGTTTGCAGGACTGGGGCATTTGCATGTAAGGTACATGCAATGAAATCATGAAATTCTTGCTGAAGAATATTAAATGCGTAGATGAAAATACAGATGAGCAGTTACTTGCTCATCTTCTACATAGGATAAGTTTGGTGGTATTTATATCATATTTTGGAAGAGATGAGCAGTTTTAGGAAAATCTGGTCTTATGTGCTAGGGTCTCTCCAAAATACATGTTCTTTAAGGCAGAAACTGTGTCTTCTTTTGTGTTTGCACAGGGCCTAGTACATTGTGAACCATATTGGACACAAACAAATAATACATAATAAAAATTATAATTACTATTTTCCCAATCTCAAAATTTCTTGACTGTTGTACTGAAAACATTTGCTAAAAGCAAATCTATAATCCAAAGTCTGCTAATACATTGTGCAGTGTTATCTCCAGATTGCAAGGGCAGGTTGGATTGAGATGCTTCACAAACCTCCAGTTTATTTCAAATTCATTTTAGAGGCTTCTGTTGGTATTTGCACAGATTAGAAAGAGATAGCTTGAGAAAAAAAATCTATTTTTATTCATATTTGTCCAAATCCCTTGAAAACATACTCTTGGCAATATGGGAAGATGGAGAGGTTCAAAGGAAATTAGTTGATGTCTTTTACTCAACTTAGAAAGACAATATTTTGTTATGTTTTCTTTCCCCTTTTTTAAATGGCAAAAGCAAAAGAGAGCTGATAGGTGGGGGAAGGCAAAGATACTATGACAAAAAGAATGAGATCTGAAGAGTGGGGAAAAAATACACAGGATGGATGGAAGCAGGGGTAAGAGTTTGATCCAAAACCCATTGAAGTCAGTGAGAGTCTTCAATGAAAGGAAAAAGCATTGAAACTCAAAATAAAAAAATGCAAAACTATGGCATTTGATGTGTGAATTAAATTTCAAATATTCAAATTATTTTGATGATATCCTGAGAGTGCTTTCAGATTATGAAGTAACAATCTGTGTTGAATAAACTTCAGGCCCAATGGTTAAAAGTATTTTGCTTTTAGTGAAGCTTATGGCTAGATTTCAGAGTAGCAGCTGTGTTGGTCTGTATCCGCAAAAAGAAAAGGAGGACTTGTGACACCATAGAGACTAACAAATTTATTTGAGCATAAGCTTTCGCAAGCTACAGCTCATGAGCTCACAAAAGCTTATGCTCAAATAAATTTGTTAGACTCTAAGGTGCCACAAGTTCTCCTTTTCTTCTTATGGCTAGAGACAGTCAAAATTTTACAGATAGAAAATATTCCCACCAAAGAATATGGTGGGAACATTGGAACCAATTATTTTCCATGAGAAAATGTCAATATCAATAACATAATTCAGATTTCCTGGGGAAATTCTGAAACATTTTTATATCTAATTTTCAAATTTAAAATGTTGTTTCTTTCAGGGTTTTTTGTTTAAGAAAAATTGGAAGAAAATATTTTAAGCTATATCAAAACAATTTTTTTTTTGTTGGCATCAGCTTGAAACTTCCCAAAGAAAACACCAAATTTTTAAGATGAAAATTTTTGAACCACGAATTTTCATTTGAAACTTATTGCAGAGAAAAGTTTGGTTCTTCTGACCTGTTCTAGTTCTGTTTTTTACCAAGTTAACAGTAACCAATGTCATGTTGTTACACTGAAATGTCTAATGGAAATTATACACTTGAACTTGCTAGGTGCAGAGTAATTAGGAATTAAGGGTAATGAGCACTTTGCATGAGTTCCTCAGTACCTCGCCAGACTGGGCCTTAAATAGGAATTTCTTGAAGAATTGTAAATATCTAGTACATATTACAGATTCTAATTCTCAATGGGCAGAGGCCTAGGATCTGTGAGCAAAAAATATACAGTTGAACACCTACACCTGCATATGATATCACTCCAATTGCTCGTGTTACTACCACCCATTAATGAATAATCATATTATTCTCCAATTGTAGTTATGCACAGAAATGCAGCTGTACACACTTACATTCACATTTCTGCATTCAGATCTCAGATCTTTTGATTTTTTTAAAATAGTGTCCCATTGTGGCTAGTAGAATGACCAACAGAAGTTAGAACTAAACTCTTTTCGTCGGTTGGATGAAACAAGCAGTTGGGACAGATACGTTTGTTGTGGAAAGAGCTGGTAGAAAACTTGCAGCAAAAGAATTTTCTAAGTTTCAAAAATCTTTTTTTTTAATTAGATCCAGTTGCAAACATACAGAAGGTGAATTCTGATAGCAGTAGCACATAACAGTTCAGAGATTTGCATCCTATGTAGTTATTGAAAACCATCACATTATTGCAATTCACTAAGGGCCCAATCCAGTTCCTAGTGAAGTCAATCCAATGAATCAAATTGACTTGTATGAGCTTTGGAATGTGGCCTAAGGGCAAGATTTTCAGCAGTGACCAATTTTGGCCTAACTCTGCTCCCTATGAAGTCAATGGCAGTAGAAAGAGGCCAATGTGGAACACTTTTGAAAATCCCACCCAAGAGTCTACAAAATGCTGAGCAATCAGACATGAGCATGTTCAGTTTCTTATAGGAGGTGTTTAGCACCCTGCAGGATCAGATCCTAACTGCACTGCACCACAATTCTGGCTGGTGGAGACCATTCCATTTCTGAATAACCTTCCAGCCTTTAGTGATATTGCTATGCTGATAAACTGCCTTGGGACATCGTAAACTTGGCTTTCAAATCAAATACCTTCCAAAATGGCAGGGTAGAAACTCTATTGAATAGGTTTTGCTGTGCTCAATACAAAACCCTTTGGGCTTGTTCAATTTGTCAGCCCCTTTAAATGGCATTAATGTAGCTATCTTTTAAAAAAGTATTAAATGTGAACTATTGTTTTTGGATCATTCACTTGTCTTTCAGGAGGATTTAGGGGATTTTTAAAGAAGCACATGAGTGATTTAATGAGAAAGAGCTACATTGCAGTCTTTTTTGTAGGGTACAGACAAATGAAGACACAAGAAGAATGACTGTCAGATATACCACACAGCACTTTTGGGTAGGGGAGTGAGGAAAATAAAGAATGTTTTCTAAAAGGAAGGACCAGAAAAGGATAGAAAGAAAGAAAGAAAGAAAGAAAGAAAGAAAGAAAGAAAGAAAGAAGGCATTGAACTGATTTACAATCTTTCCTAATAGTGCAGTTGTTCACATCTTATTTTACTTGAAGCTTGCTTTTCACAAGTACATTGCTGAGTGACCTTTTATGATCTAATGAAAGAAGTCCATACCTTTCCTGATCCCTCCATCAGTAGCACACGTGTAATCACCTGTTGTCAGTAGGAAACATGTTCCCCCTCTTCTGTTTTTGTCTCTGGTACTAGAACGTCTGATTGGTGGGTGCCTTTCCCCAGGTGAGAGTGGCTGCTCACTTCCTGCACTGTCTTCACCTGATAACACTGGTTAAAGCACCATGCCCATTTACAGACAATAATGAATGAGGAAATGAGACATCACAAAGAGCTTATGTTGAATGCTGGATATTCCCATCACTCAAGTACAAAAAACAGTAATAATGTCATGATAAGAATAAAGAAAAAGATTGCAGTTCATCATTAATCACTACAAAATGCAGCAAAAGAGCAAAAGTAAATGTTTTATTTAAGAACAAATCATCTTTTGAATATCCCAGCCCTATTTGAGATATCTCCTAAGGCTCGACTAGCTTAACATAAAATAAAATGTCATCAGATAAAAGGCTATTCTACTGAATTACATGCCTTTATAGACTCTAACCTTTCCAACAGTAGTCTGCCATAATTGTTTTAATATTGTGTTCATCTCTTTGACTATCTTCTTTATTAAAAAAGAAGTCATGTTGACCATTTTGCTGTTGAATAGTTTTTAAAAGAACTTTTGAGACAGGAATTAAGTGATAAATGTTTAGGGCCAAAGCCTGCCCTGAAATGCACAATTAACATTGATTTCAATGGGAGTTACATTTAATCATATATAGCTCAGGGCTAAATGTGGTCCTTAGTCAGTGTGGTTAAGATTCAGCACACAATAGACTCTCTACATCACCCACTTTTGCTTTCCCAAAACCCCCTCTTTTAAAACAAGAAATATGTAGCATTTCAGGACCCAATTCAAGAAACCATCCCCATTAAGGAAAGCACTTAACCACGTGCTTAAGTGTTTTCCTGAATTGGGGCCACAAATGGCAATATTCTACCTTGAAGTTATGCACAACAATCCCAATAACTACACAAGAAATGAAGTTAGATATGGAGCACAAATGGTGGCGCTATCCAAGAGAGAGAGACAGAAAAAAATAACCCCAGAAGTAGATCACTTTAAGATTTTTTTCTCTAACCTCAAGGATTATAACACCTTGTAAATAAATCAGCAGACTCACTAAAACTATCTCTCTGTGCTGTCACACAGAGCCTCCTCCCTTCTGGAATGCCTTTAGCAGGACTCAATGACACAGAAAAGCTGTTGTCATTAACACTTTGAAGATGCTGTCTGAGAATGTGTATCAGTCCAGCACTGTAAAACTAACTATATTCCACCCACAACACAGTCATCTGAAAGTTTTTCTCCCTTTTTTGATATCTTTAGAATTTAAAAAAAATCTGTGTTACCTTTGCTTGAGAACTTTCGCAGAGTTCTCTCTCAAAGAGAGAACTCTCTCTTTAATTGATCTTCTTTTAACCTAAGACTAAGCAGTGGCATAATGTCAGAACAGAATTAAGATACTTTTCACAGTCACAATTTTCAGCTTCTTCCCTCTAAAGAGCAAGATCCAGCTACTGCAACACTGAAAGGCATGTTTTTGCATTATTATTACTTATTGACTTTACAAAAGGAGCCTAATGATTTATATGAGAGCTTTGCAATACAACTGTGTTCAGCATAAGAGTTAACAGATTTGAAAAAAAAAATGCCTTGTGACTAGAACTGGTCAGGATTTTTTTAAGATTTTTTTTCCTGCCAGAAAATGCTGATTCATTGAAAACTAAACTTTTTCAGAAACTTGTTGGTTTCAACTAAACTTTCATCTGGAATGTTTTTCAGGTCCATGATGGATTTTCTGGACAGAGCCCAACTCCAGAATACTCAATAGCCACATAGTTAGGGCACTCGCAAAGAATATAGGTGATCTTGGTTCAAGACCATGCTCTGCCTAATTTAGATCAGGAACTTGAAGCTGGGTCTCCTGCATGCCATGTGAGTGCTTTAATCACAAGGCTCTCTCTTTTTCCCAATAAATATTTAATTATTTGTACAAAGTGGAACAGTTCCAACAAGAGAGATTGAGAGCGCGAAAGAGCGAGACTAATTCTAAAACCCAGAGGTTAGGGTTCAAACTTTTGTGCAAAATGGAATTCTTGCTTTCTGACCGGTCCTACTTGTGACTGAAAATCTATAGTAATTAAACTAAACGCTACTTAACTTTGTTCTTTAATCTCAAACGATATTCAATGTGTGCTGAGAAATGACATCTCGAGTGGTGCTGATGATGGCCATTTTCAGTTTTTCACCAAGAAGCTTTACTTCAACTTAATATCTGTCATATTATCAGCACAACAGTAAAAACACAATGTGATGTCCCATATAATACAGATGTGGGAAGTACTTCTTGCCAGGGAATTGGAGTGCTGAATGGGAAGAAATCTGAAAGCTAGAAGCCAGCTTTCTATATTCTTCCGATGAGTGCTGTCCTTTACAAGGTAAAGCACCTGTTTCTTTTAAATTACTTCCTCTTGTATTGCATCTTACATAATATGCCACTATGTGGCATAGGCAAAGCTGACACAAGAGACAAACACTAAGCAGAACAGCATGGAGTTCAATGGTGTGGAACACGGTAGCTGTTCAGATAGTCACAATCATGCAGGAAAACAAAAGAACATCAGTACAATGAAACAAACAACAGGCAAAATAAATGGTGGATGTCATCAGCAGAAAAAGCATTCACGACATAGCAAGCAAACTGTATAGACCAGCTATGCACAGACCTGGGAATGTCATTGTAACTATTTTGCCATCTACAAGACTGACACACGCAAACACTGGAGTGAAGGGAGAGGGGAGGGAACTACATCTTTTAGTTGCAGAAAGATTTAATGCTTTCTGACACCTACTAAACATACTGGTCTATAAAGTATTTAGAAGACATGCATTTGAGATTGTGTCCTACCTGATCTGTTGTGTTCCATCAGCCGGTTGTCTTTGCCCAGGCAGACATCTCCCTGTGTGCTATTGCAGGCCATATTCAAGTCTGTCTTGCAAAAGGTAGGGGAGCTCACCTGCGGAGCAGGAGGGATGTGCTTCTTCCTCTTTCTTGGAAGTTTCTGTTTCGCCATTGCCAGGGAGTAGTACATTCCGAAATTGTTGACAATGACAGGCACGGGCATGGCTATGGTCAGCACCCCAGCGAGAGCACACAGAGCACCCACTAACATGCCTGACCAAGTCCGAGGATACATGTCCCCATACCCAAGGGTAGTCATGGTGACCACAGCCCACCAGAAGCCAATGGGGATATTTTTGAACTGTGTGTGCTCACTAGCAGATGGGTCATTGGGCTGGGCCCCTACTCGCTCAGCATAGTAGATCATGGTGGCAAATATCAACACGCCTAGTGCCAGGAATATTATCAGCAGCAAAAACTCATTGGTGCTAGCTCGGAGTGTGTGGCCCAGCACTCTGAGGCCTACAAAGTGCCGGGTGAGCTTGAAGATTCGCAGGATTCTCACAAACCTCACCACCCTGAGGAAGCCAAGCACATCCTTAGCAGCTTTGGAGGAGAGCCCACTCAGGCCCACCTCTAAGTAAAAGGGCAGGATGGCCACAAAGTCAATGATATTCAAGAGGTTTTTGACGAATTCAAGTTTATTGGGTGAAAAAACAACACGGACTAAAAATTCAAATGTAAACCACACCACGCAGACTCCTTCCACGTACGTCAGAGCAGGATCAGTCTCAATTTCATACTGTAGAACTGCCTCTGTGCCATTGATGGCATGCTCGGTTTTGTTTATAATAGTATTGAAAGCCTCATGGGTTTCCAAACAAAAGGTTGTGATTGAAACTAGGATGAAGAATAAAGAGGCAAAAGCAATGAACTGCAAAGAAAAGGAAAGAAAAAGGAAATCAGAACCAAAAAGTCCTTTATATTAATAAGTAGGGCCCTACCAAATTCATAGCTATTAAAAATGCGTCATGGACCGTGAAATCTGGTCTTTTGAGTGCTTTTAGCCTATACCATACAGATTTCATAGGGGAGACCAGAGTTTCTCAAACTGGGGGTCCTGACCCAAAAGGGAGTTGCAGGGGGGGTCGCAAGGTTATTTTAGGGGGTCACAGTATTGTCAGCCTTACTTGTGTGCTGCCTTCAGAGCTGAGTGGCCAGAGAGCAGCAGCTGTTGGCCAGGTGCCCAGCTCTGAAGGCAGCGCCCTGCCTGCAGCAGTGCAGAAGTAAGGGTGGCAATGCCATATCATGCCACCCTTACGTCTGCGCTGCTGCCTTCAGATCTGGGCAGCCGGAGAATGGCAGCTGCTGACTGAAGGCCCAGCTCTGTACGAAGCAGCGCAGACATAAGGGTGGCATGGTATGGTGTATTGCCACCCTACTTCTTACTACTGTTGGTGGTGGCTCTGCCTTCAGAGCTGGGCTCTCCAGCAGCCCAGCTTTGAAGGCAGTGTCACGACTAGGAGCTGCACAAAAGTAAGAGTAGCAGTACCACAACCCCCCTACAATAACCTTGCGACACCCTCCCACACACACACACACACACACACAACGTTCCTTTTTGGGTCAGGACCCCTACAATTACAACATCATGAAATTTCAGATTTAAATAGCTGAAATCATGAAATTTACTATGACCGTGAAATTTACCAAAATGGACCATGAATTTGGTAGGGCTCTCCGAATAAGCAATCATCAATCATACATTTTACATTGTACTTTTACACTGTATGGCATAATTAATTACAAAGGCCCCCAAAGTGATTCCCATACAATGACACATGAAACATTAAACTGACGCAGTCCCCGAGGTGGAGAGTGATAGCCACCCCTTACACTGCATGATGAACAAAAATATGGTGGCGGGGGACCTGTTCATCAAGGGCATCAGGATAACCATGATTCATAAGAAAAAGTTACATTATGCCTTGAAAACTAGAGTCCTGCCTGCTGAGTGTGGATATCAAAGTTCCAATGTCAAAGATACCTCCACCCCCACGGTTCTCAATCTCTGAAAGAGGTCTGACAGGTTGAGCTGATCCAAAGGGGGTTTGAGACTGTGGTTCATGAAATTCTGCTAAGAATATTGGCTGCTAAGAATACTGGCTATATCCTCTGAAGAAGTCATCAACATTTCTTGAACCAAAAATATTAGCTGTAAACAGTCAATTCATCGATGCAGGTCATCCATTAGAGAAAATGTTCTGATGTGTTATACAGAGAGCTGATAGCTCTCTCTAGATATGATTGTCCAGTACTTCCCATTGTTAGACTCTATTTTCACTTGTCTGTAACTTTGCCAAATTTTAACCATTCAGGCTGAAATTTCCCATGTTGATTATCTGCCTTGGGTTGAATATTTTTGGAAAGTTTCACCAAAAAAAGATTCAGCCATTTCCAAAAGCAAGATTATGGGAAAATATGTTGTTTAGACCATGTTACAAAAATCCATACAACCTTTTCATTGAAAACCTGTAGTACCTCCATTCTTTGGAATGGAAACTTGAAATTGGCAAGAGAATTGCCCTGGTGTCAGGGATGTTCCTTTCGCTGTTCCTGTGAAAAACTGCCCAAATTTGACCAAGTTATAAGCCTCTAAAAATATCAATTCTCACAGGCTCAGTAAAGATTTGTTCGCATTTGGCAGAGAATTTTCCAAAAATTCCCTCTATACTGAGTATGCTCCAGCCTCAGGCTGCAGTGCCTGAGCAGGGCTGTTCCTACAATTGCTTCTCCTGGCTGCTATGGACCACTGTGGCACTATGCACCAGAAAGTAAGAGCAGAGAAGCTGTCTCTCCTGTACTTTCAATATGGTCCTTTTCTGGCCCCCAGGCCATGAGGGGGAGAAAACACCATGACTTGAATGCAATGGAGACAATAGGGAAAAGGGAGCTGAGGGAGTAGATTGGAACAAGAAGCTTGGAGGAGAAAGTAGGATTGGAAGCTGGGGTGTAGGGGATATTGGGATTGATTAGGCAAGGAGACAGGAAGCAGGGTTGGGAAACTGGGAAGGAGGTTGGGGCATGGGAATGGGAACTGTAAAAGAAATTGAGATCAGATGAAGAGCCAGGGGAGTTCGTGGGAATGGTCTTGTGGAAAAATTATTATGTGATCATGTAATTAAACATGGTATTGGAATGTATATGCACAAAAAAAGCAAATTAATTGCCCAGGCAGCCTTAACTCGGACATTCCCTAACCCTTGAGTGTTTGACTTTGTAACCTTAACATTCTTTTAAAGTGGGGGTGGGGACTGTGCATTCTATTGTAGGTTACATTTTTAAAAGTATATATTTCCATTCATTTCAAATGGCAAGGACCCAATATTATCTTTAAAGAGAAATTATGCTTGCTATACACTCTAAAACCAAAAGAGGAGAGAGTAGAGGGGGATCAATCTTTTACAAGTAGTTTAGTATGATCAGAAGAAAAAAAATCAGTTTACAATCTATTCTGAAGCATGCCAAATTTTGTGGTTATAGAGGTTTCTACAGCGATTTTCACAGAACTTTTAGCAACAACAGCTGCTCAGGCTCGCTGTCTCATTTAAATTATAGCTTGGACTGGGCTTGACCAGCTGAGATAGGGGAATCTTTAGAACCAAAATACAGAGAAAAGGGGGGGGGGAGAGGGACAGAAAGGAGAGAATGAGTGGTGACTGTAGGAAAATCATGCTAGATCATATATACATGTTTTATTGAATGCTTAATATAGAAAACCAAAAGGGCCAGCATAAACAAAGACTACAAAAGACAGATATAACTTAGACTTCAACCAGGGGAGAGCATACTATTTGGCCACCCCTCAAGGGAAGAGTGGAATCATACACCAGACTGAGTTGAGACAGGTCACATCTGAACCACTCAATAATAATGACCATAATGTAATTAAATTTAACATTATTGTGGGGGGGAAACATGACAAAGAAACCTGCCACAGTAACATTTAACTTCAAAAAGAGGAACTACACAAAAATGTGGAAACTAGTTAAATGGAAATTAAAAGGAACACTCACACAGGTTAAATGCCTGCAAACTTCACGGAGAATATTTAAAAACAACATAATAGAGGCTCAACTAAATGTATATCCTAAATTAAAAACAAACAAAACAGTAAGAGGAACAAAAAAAATGTCACCATGGCTAAACAACAGAGTAAAAGAAGCAGTTAGAGACAAAAAGACATCTTTAAAATATTTGAAGTCAAATCCAACTGAGGAAAATAGGAAGGAGCATAAACTCTGGAAAGTCAAAAATAAAAGTATAAGGTAGTTGAGGAGCAACTACCTAAAGACACAAAAACTGACAGCAAAACATTTTTAAGTACACCAGAAGCAAGAAGCCTGCCAAACAATCAGTGGGGCCACTGGATGATCAAGATGCTAAAGGAGCACTCAAGGAAGACAAGGCCGTTGCAGAGAAGCTAAATGACTTCTTTGCATCAGTCTTCACTGCAGAGGATGTGAGAGAGATTCCCAAACCTGAGCCATTCTTTTTAGGTGACAAATCTGGGGAACTGTCCCAGATAAATTTATCAGTTTGTTCTGAATACCTCAAACCGTAATAAAACATCATCAGGACTAGATGGCATTCACCCAAGAGTTCTGAAGAAACTCAAATATGAAATTGCAGAACTACTACCTGTGGTATGTGATCTATCACTTCAATCAGACTCTGTAGCAGGGGTCTGGAGGAAAGCTAATGTAACACCAATTTTTGTAAAAGGCACCAGAGGAAATCCTGGCAACTATAGACCAGTAACTTCAATACCAGGCAAATTGGTTGAAACTACAGCAAAGATCAGAATGATCAGACACACAGATAAACACTGTAGGTTGAGAAAAAGAAATAGCTTGGGTCCTCCTTCTCAGATTTAACTGTATGAAGGCTTTGGAGGTTGTTCATCTGCAGTGTCCCACATGCTCAATCTTCTCCTCTGCATTTTTCAATTTGAGGTGAAACCCTTCAGCAACGCATGGCTGACCCTCAGCCATTTATCTCCTTTCCATGAAATGTAACCAGAATGAAATCCCACTTTTCTTAATGCCCAGCTGAAATCATCCCCTGGATGAAAAACAGCTGGCGAAGGATGAACCCAGACAAGACTGAGATGATGCCGGTAGGCAACGGAAAACTCTTTGAAGTACTTGGCTCCTCTATAACAGCCCCCACTGCCAATGGCATTGCCCTCAGTCTGTTGCCAGCCTGTATCTTGGGGTCTTTTGATCTCCTCAGTGTTAGTGGATGCCCAATAGCCATAGCAGCAAAAGACACACATTTGCAACTGTGACCAGCCAGACAACTGAATTTTTTCCCTTCTATCGGACACAAAGCTAGTCATGGTGATCCATCCATCTTGACCTCTAGACTTGATTATTGCAGCTCATCCTATCTATGAAAGACGCTACATGCCCTGAAAAAGCTCAAACTAGTACAAAATGCAGTTTCCTACCAGCTTAGCAACATGTCACACCCCAGTTCTCCTCACTCTGTGCTAACAGTAAATTTATAAACTTAGCAAGATATTTTTCTTATAGGCTGAGAAGGAAGAACAAGAGAGTGGTTGTTATTATTGCTATTTAAATACTTGGGAGGCACCCACATGCTATAGAGATGGAAACAAGATGTAGAAGTAGATAGGTAGACTACAAGGAAATCCTGTAGTTTATAATACCTTAAAACCATAAAAATTTGTCTCTCTTGCACTAGACACATTTTTGAATTGCATTTTAATTATTTCACATTGCAGACCGCTAATGATCTTGCTGTTATCACAAAAGGCACAAAGTAATAAAAAATCATCAATATAAAATCCACAATGCTCTTTCAGACATTACACAAACCCACTCTTACAGAAGTACTACCCAGCTTTAA